AATGCTTTCAACTGTGGTGTTCAGCACCTTATGTGGAGTGGTAGATTCCCATTCCCTCAATGTACCTCCCAACAATAAATGGCAATGCAGCATTTGGATATGCTGATTGGCTAACACTGTGATGTTATTCCCAGAAGTACTGCCTTTCCTGGATGCTTTAGGTCCTTGTGTTCCTATGTGACTGTACAGCACCTAGCACAAGAAGGCCAGAAGCTTTTGTTACCATAAAACAAATTAACAACAGTAACATATGGGGAAATGGTAAAAAAACCCAAACATGGTAACCTCACAGGTTTGGAGTAGCCATGGCTAAAGTGAGTGGTTAGTGGGCTCCCAGTGGTACCACTTTGGCTCATTATACCCTTGATCTATCTAATCCTGGTCCCTGAAGCTGTTGGGGAACAGTTTAGTCATACTGAGACGCTCCAAATAGTCCTGTAAGTATGGTAGCAGCACCCCACCCCTCCCCAATGTATTTTCTTTGGAGTGCCTGTACAACAAATCAGTGCAAATGTAAACTATTCTCCACTTCCCAAATGCTGTATTTATTTTAACTACCAGGACCATGTGTGCACTAAGAAATGGTTGATGACTGAAGGCCTCCATAGATACTGTAGAATTAACAATGCTGCGGCTCAGATTCAGACAGAGTGGTCTATAAAGTTCATACTGGGTCTGTAATAAGCCTCAGAGTTATGCATAATTGGGCCATACACATGTATCATTAATTTTACAGCAACGGAAATTTCATAGACTGGGGAAAATAATTACCACTGTGGAGTCACTTGTCTCCAGTTAAGAATAGGTTTAGGTTTATGCATCAGAAGTTGATCACACAATTAATTCATTGCCTGGCTTATTTTTTTTTTGGTGCTGGGGATGGAGGGAAGGGACAGTGGGGAATTGCTGTATGCCTTTTCTGTCATGAAATGACGCTGAGCTGCAGAGGATACAAGCCCAAGACCTTGAATACAAGCCCGACAATGAATTCCACTTAACCAGGCAAACAGTGCTATAGTGGTAATTACTCCAGCCTAACTGGCGTCCCTAAAAAGTAATGAGAAGTCCAAAGTCATTTAAAGGAAATGCCATTGTAAAGGCTTCATTTTCCATTGGAGATAAAAAATAAGATTGGGGAGAAAATGGGGAGGAAAGAGGGAGGTGGAGGAAACTGCTGTATTTTCTTCAACGTCGCCCTGATCCGTGTGGGTGTAAAGGATGAGAAAGGTGGGAGTATGACGTCACTGCTACATGCAACATAAATATTAAAGAAAAGAACCAAACTACTAAACAAAACAAAACAAAAAAACTCTCTGCTAGAGAAAGACAGGCTGGACTGTACTCTGGGCTACAGGGAACCCGTTTTTACTCACAATAGATCACTATCAGTGTGCAGTTAAAATATAGTAGGGAGCGTGTTCCAAGGCAGCAAGAGGAAAAATAAATCAAAAATTTGTCAATTTTCACAGGTTACAACACATTCCTTTAAAAACATCAACGTACACACGATCTGTCCCTCTGGGGTTCAACCCCCACCCTTTGCAGCAAGAAAGTGGCTGGAAAAAATGTATAGAGAATTAGACAAGTGTTGTTATACAGAATGAAAGAAACAGAAAGTGTGAATCATCCAGCTCAGAGATTTCATCCCAGCGTGGCTGCATTTAATATATATGTATATACATTTGGCCCTTTGCTGAAAAGATATAATGAAATTAAATAAGAAAGAAATTGAAAACATAAGCTAAATATACCACAAAATTATCAATGGTTTGTGAATAGAATTTCTATATTTCTCTCTGGACAATGTAATATGAATATTTACAGATTATTCAGGCAGTAAGGAGAGGAGGGAGAAGGACGGATGGCTGAAAACTGTGAAAAGAAAGCATAGTTACTTTAATTATCCCTAGCCTCGTGGAGATGCATAGTTCTTACTTGAATTATTAATACTAGGCCTAAGAGGTTTGGACAAATGGCTATGTAGGTCAGGCTCACTTATAGACCCTGACAATACCACAGTTAATATTCAGACAATATCTAAAGGGACATGAAACCTCAGATGCATTATTAAAGAACATGGCTTTCAACTGTCCCAGGAAGCTGCATGTAATTAATGCCATAATAATTAAGATTTCCATGTAAAGATGATATTCTTTCACATTTCATTCACCTGTACATGCGGATAGTTTTATCTTCATCCCTTCAATTCATCTTAGATGTCATCTGTACTCCACTGTCTCTAATTTTGATTATGTTGCTCATTAATTAAAAAAAAATATCTGAACTGTTCACAATATCATTGTAAATTAAGTTGACAGCCAAGCCCCACAATTTAGAAGGAAATGTTTTGTTGTAATTTCTGCTTTGTTTTAGCTAGATTGTGTTTTTAAGACAAACAATTCAGGCACCATATATGTGGAGATGATGGCTAAGATATTCAAAAGTGACTAGTGATTTTGAGGGCCAAAGTTGTGACACCTTAAAGGGACCTGATTTGCAGACACTATTGAGCATCTGCCCTCTAAAAATCAGACCCTTTTAAGGTGTCTCAGAGATGAGCATCCAAAAATCGACTGACCAAAAATCACGTTACCTTTAAAAATCTTGATATATATCATTCACTGATTGACAGGATTTTAAAAACAAAGCTATTGAATTATTGTTAATAGTTATGAACATGCGGCTGTTATCAGCTGTTCTGAAAAGTGTGTGTGTGTGTGTGTGTATGTGTATGTGTGTGAGAGAGAGAGAGACAGAAAGAGAGAGAGAGAGAGAAACCAAACCAAGAAAATATTCTGAGTACATATTAGACTTTGCCATCATTGCCTTTTTTCCCTCCTCCTGACTCGGAAGATTATCCCCTTGGTGTTCAGTGCTCAGTATGGTGGCTCTGACAGGCTCCTTCTTCAACCTCACTAACTCCATCATTTCATTCCACATCTGTCCAACACCCTTTAATGCATTAGACTGATGTGTGTGACCATGTCGTTTGGAGCATTTCCTAGTGCTACATGCAGAGGCTGTCATCCTAGCCCTGACATGGCCTTACTGCTGTTTTATACTGTGTTGGTTGGTCTCTTTCCAAGAATTTTTCTTTTCCCCGGCTTCCCAAAATTGAACATTTTATTCCGTTTCATGCTTCTGCCCTTTATATTGTAGTTGCTTGTTCATATGTTACAATATATTTGAGTTAAATGTAGCACAACTATGTAGGTCTCGAATCCAAATGATACCAACTCTCTTAGAGAATTTGATAGAAGTCTGCATACATTAGCACAGCATGGTATTACAGGTACAAAAAGTGGGGTGGGGGAAAATAAAAATACATAAAGGGCAGGGAGGCAACAACAGCCCCCACTGCGTTGGTTACATATTTCCCCTTCCCTAGTATTTTGGGAAATCTTGGAAAAAAATTAGCTTTGTGAGTTACAGGAAGCCACAGGTAGTTTTCACTTGCCTGACCAGAACTTACTCAGCAGAATCACTGACCTTGGCAGCAGTTCCAGGGTCACACTCTCACATGGATAAGCTGTTCTTGAACAATTTTTTTCAATATGTTAGGCAAATGCATGCGTTCCTTCCACATCAGGTATCTTTGATTTCCATGAATTTTGCATTCACTGTGGCTATTGTGGCTATCATTCTCCACTAAAGTCTCAGCTCCTCTGTCTCTATTACGCTACCTTAAGAAAACAATGTCAAAGCCTTGTTCTCCTTGATCGTCTTTTTTTGGGAGAGAAGAGGAAGGCTGTCCTTAAGGACTCTAATAGTACTGTTTTTCTCTACAAAGAATTTCATCTTCTGGTATGGTTCAAGTAGAGTACCCTTTTTCTGGTGTGTGTGAAGGTCCAAGTCTAGCCCTTTCTTCCAAATGCCAAGACTGTAGTGAGACAACAGCAATCAGTAGGCCACAGTGTTTTGGGAATCATAAAAGTAGCAGGAGCAGAAGCACGGGCAGACTCTGCTGAGACAGTCCAACCCACCTTTCTTGTGACTCTAAACAGGGTCATGTGCTTTTTAATGGCAGAATATCTAAACCATGTAAAGTGTACACATGATATTCAAATATCCATTAAGAGAAGGAATCCCTATGCCTACATTTGAAATCTATACTGCAAATATTTAATTGGTCAAATCCACTGTGTGGGCATTTGGTTTGGGTAACCTGACTGTATAAAGTCCACCAAAATTAAAGAGCCAGATATATTCCTGCATAAATATAAAGAAAAAACAAAAACAAAACCAGGTCTCCACTCCAATGTTCTGCTCTCCCTGCACTCACATATCTCCTGCTGACATCAACCACAGTTCTATTAATCTGGGTAAAGCAGGTGATAAACACTGAAGTCTGCTGAACACCTCTGAAAGCAGAATTTTGTCCTATTTAAAGGAACCAGTCCTGCATTTCTTCTGATCACAGAACTGTCATCGACTTTGGGACTTCCTCTGCAGAATGACAGCAGGATGGAGCCTATGGGTCTCATCATAATATTTTATTTCAGCATTATTACATCACTCAGTATTGTTTCTTAGCTTACTTTACTTGTTACATTATATTATACAAGGCCCAAATTCTGCCCTTACGCCTCACGGAAGCCCATTGCAAGTAATGGGTTTTTACAGGGCGTAAGTCAGGGCAGAATTTGGCCCCATGTGAATAAGTTTGTTCATCTACTCAGATTCAGAACCTCCCACTGCCCACAAATAAATGCCATGGGCACAGATTCATCTTGATTTAATTATCTGAACTTTGTTAACTTTGGACACAAACAGGCATTTTAATGAAGCTGCAGGTGTGAGTGAGTGGTGTGAAATTTAATTTTAAAAATATTCACATCAGAATTACAAATGACATTTAACTGCATTGCCATGTATTTATTTCCTACCCTTTCTGCACCACTGTGTAAAACACATAAATACATTTAAAGAAATTCCTTAAGGCTGAGCAGGTCCTGAGGGGGAGGGGGGAGGAAAAGGGAGGGAGAAGAAATATTACTTACGCCGTTTGCAGCCACATTTTTTTATCCTTTTGGGATCCGTGATGTCATCATGACAGGCCTTGCAGTAAAAAAATGCCCTGGAGAGACAGAACGGAAAAACTGACACATTTCTTAATCCACACAAATGAAATTAGTCCCACATTTCCTCCTGCTACATTGCCAAATTAATGAAACATGCCAGCACTAATTTCCTTTAATCTTTGGAAAGGTTTAGACATTTAAAGGAGGAAATGTTTGCTGCAAGACCATTAATTTCAAACACAAGACTATGATTCAAGTTAGTGCTTCTTTTAATAAACTTTCATTTGAAAAATAATTAGGAGACGGGTTGATAAATATGACACAGTGGATCAGATCATCTGCCTTTCATCTTTGGAAGAATAAGTCTCATCGTCAAGGCACATATGAAATGAGTTCACTGTTCTTGACATGAAAGTCCCAAATTCAGAGCCACATGATTTCTGAGAAGGACAGCTAAGTTTTTAAGGCCAAGTTTGCAGTCTACCCTCCACCGGACCTCCATACTGGTGAGTGCAATCAGCAATGTCAATGTCATTGTGACCTAAATTGTGGTCAATAATATCATACATGCTATTATTTGCACCTGTAAAAATGGAAGCCAGTGTCTGAAAAACAGGTTCTTAAAAAGCAGTGAATAAACATGGGGACTACTGTCCTCTTGATTCAGACTTCTTTTCATTTGCCATCAGGGTTCAATTAGAGAAGAATCACACTAGTTTTGACTGCATTATAAACCCTCAGCAAAAATCCCTAAGCAAACAAAAATACGTAATTCACAAGATGACCTACCTAACTCTCTGTCTATTTAGGCTTTTATACATGGCCTGTTACTGCGTAGCAAAGAGCTGACTGATAGGTGAAGTGTGCAGAATGTAGGGTAAGTGACGAAGGGTAAGGGTGCAATAAAACTTTACATATCATTAACATAAAATTATGTTTTAAAAAACGTACATCAAACTGCCCACAGGAGATTTCACAAGCCTGTCAAGTCAGTATGTCACACACGATTGCTGTGACACATGTCTATTTCATGAAGATCACACAGCTAGCCTCTAACTGAGCCAGTCTGGGCTGCTATAATATACACCTATTTTTGCTGGCATGACAACTGGGCCATCCTGCACTTCAGCATCTGCCAAATTTCCCGCATCGCCTGCCTCCTCTGACCCAGACTCCTCTCTACAAATTCAGGCTGATGGAAATGAGGGGTGACTTGAGGCCACACCATAGGTCTTGCAGGTAATACTGCTCCTGCACTTGAGGTGGCTTGTAGGTTCCAGAAATAGAAGAGGCCATGGGAACAGAAGAACCTACAGTCCTTGGGTACTGGAAAGAAAAATAAGCAACAAATACACAGGGACATGGACGAATATATTCTTGGTTCCAGTGTAAATGAAAGGGCTATTAATTCATTTAGACAAAAATATCAAGGGTTTATGAATGTTTCACACAGTGCAGGAATGTTACAGAAAGGGAGAGGGCACAGGGAGCATGGTACTTTCCTGGTGTAAGGAAAAAACATAATCCATCTTCCAGATCCCAGAAGCACAAGTAAAGAGGAAGTGACTAGTACTATGTGCAGGGGTGACAAGGCCTGCAGAGTTATTTCTGGGTGTTTTCCTGTACTCCGTCACAGAACATTACCTAAGGAGGGTGTTACGATCCCCTCTGTACAAAAGGGGGAACTGGAGCCTAGAGAAATCAAGAGACTTGTCCAAGGTCAAAGAGCCAGTTTGTCACATGTGTCCAAGCTCTCAGGCTTGTGATTTAACTGCCAGGCTACGTGGAGTCAATGGATATTTTCCAAGTTTGACCTATGGCTGGTGTTTTTAATTAGGAATGGGGAACCTGACAGCATCTAAAGATGTGGTTCAGATATCAGCCTCAATATCTCGATACTTCTCTGTAGACCATCCAAACCTCTTGTGTCTACAAAACTAGGCAGGAAGCCTTGTCAGAAAGCCACATCTGCTACTTCCTGCTAACAGTCTGTTGAGAACATTTAAATGCTTTAGATTGGAACCCCAAGCACAGACGAAGCTGAGATAAAAAAATACAGTGAAAGAGAAATGAAACTGTTTTGTTCATTTTGAGTAATGAGTAAAAGTTCAGTGGGCTTTTAAATTTTAATCACAAAAATATTTTGCAGTTATATCAGAGCTACAAGTAGTCCCCTCTCTACTTAAACTTATACATTCTTCTTGCTGCTTGATATCCATGTAGGCCTGGTCTACACTACAGAGTTAGTGTTCCCACTTCCGGCTCTGAGACAGGCTACTGCCCGGGCTCCCCGCTCCAAGCCAGGCTGCAGTCTGGGCTCCTGGCTCCCCCCCACTTAACTTGTAGTGCAGACATGTCTGTAGACTCCTTTTCCTATCTATACAGCTGGTGTAATTAGTTTAATGGGAAGGTACATGGATTCAAGCTAGTATAAGAGGGTCTAATTCAAACAATTGTGAATTTAATCTACACAAAACAATTGAAACTAATTTAATTCAAATATCTGAATTTGGTCCAGGGAGTTTAAGTAACCTGCCAGGAAGCAGGTCAGTATGGCACTAACCATCAGGAGACTTGAGTTGTAAACCCGCTATGTGGACTAGCTAAATAATCTATTCAAGCCAGTCACTGTCAGAGATAGGACTGGGACTCAGGAGTGGCAGTCTCTACTCTTCTATGGACCATGTGGACTCCAGGGAGTCACCCCTCTCCTAACTGTTGGATTTTCCTCCTCTTTCTGTTGGCCAAAATTTCCTCTCCAGTTTTTGCAGTTCCCCCTTCAGACACTTAGTGCAGCTCTAGATCCAACTTCTGAAGCAGGATCTTTTATCACAGACCCTTCCCCAAATCCCTACAAGTTTAGACGAACACTGCACAGGTGTGGGAGCCACACTGCCAGATCCCAATGCAGAATTAGGGCCTTAGTATTTGCTACGCATGATACTCTCTGGGTCTGTCTACACTGCAATACGAGGTGTGATTGATGTTTCCATAGACATACCCACACTGGATGGCTAAAAACAGCAATGTAGATACAGAGGTATGAGCCTTAGCCGGGGCTGTATAAGCATGCCAGGGACCCTGAAGCCCGTCGCCCCTATACTGCTATTTTTAGCTGTGCTAGCATGAGGAAAGCTATCTTAGGTATTCTACACATGCTCCAGTCACACTGCAGATTGCAGTGCAAGCATACCCTAGGTGCAAGACCAAGAATAGGTGACACAGATGCTTTTAAAAATGAAATTACCATATTGATTAAAGAATTAAAAAACAAATGGATTTCCATACTGCATAATAAAATGTAAGTGGATAAAGAATGATAAAGACATCACTCATATTGTATCTATGACACATTATTAGCACTCAACATTTTATATACAGCCATTCTCTTCAATAAATCCTTAACATAAAGGTGTGTAATATGTACCTATTATTTAAAAAAACATAAAAAATCATAGTTTTAGCAATATACAAAATTACTCTACGACAAATTATGGTGCATAAACAGTGTTAAATATGCATTGCAATATGGTATAGATCTAACCTAAAAGACTTGCCAGCATCTCTAAAAGCACATCAAACATAAACAAACACATTTAATTTGAGCTACAAGTATAATACATATGTTTACTTTTGTTTTATTGTACTTAGGTAAAAATCCTGTTTTTTACTCTCCTAGAATCTTTTTTATTGCCATTCAGATCCCATTAAACCATCCACCACTTGTTTGAAAACAAAGGCATATAATTCACGGAGGGGGATTAAGTTTCTCTCAATTTTGGAAAAATTTTTCTGACTCTGATTCATCAAGTTACAAAGGTGAAATTGACAATATTCATAAATGGCTGCATTAGCTGAAGCACATCTGATCAAGATCTGCTTTGTACAGAATGGCTAGGGAATATGTGAAGAGAGGCAGCAACCATGCATACTTCTAGCCTAACACTTCTGGAAAAGGCAAGTCAGAGCTTCTGCTTCAACTTGCTGTTGTCATGGATGGAAATTGATTTAAAAGCGCTAAGTAAATTTACTCTAAATATATCTTCACTATTCAACTTCTGTCATTTCAAAAATATCATGCCAGGTTTCTCTTGGTGCGGTCTCCATTAATTTCCCTGGGGAACTGCATGGCTACAACACTTTGTAAATACACAGGTTAGTGTCTTGGTGCTACCATGTGAATAGCCTTGTGCACATGGAAAGGGAAAGAGACAAGAGAGAGAACAAGAACTTCCTGCTGGGCTCACAGGCTGCTGGAGCTCCTGCCCACAGTAATAGCTTTCACAAAGGTGGTGCTGGAGATGAGAAACAGCAGGGCCCAGCTGTAGCAAGGGCAGCTACCTCCTGTCTCTCTCTTTGGGCCAGAGATTGCTCAGCAGCACCCTGCCTGTGTTTCCACCTCTTCAGGACCCTTTAAGAACTCTTCCAGTTCAAAAAGTTCAAACAATACCCAAAAGGGGTCTCACTTATTTAGACTTCTAAGTGCACACAGGCCGCAGCCCCAGTCCATCGCTCATCCAGCAGGCCAAAATAATGCCAGTTTCAGCTTGGCACAGCCCCTTGCTCCCAAAGGGTCTGTCTGTCAGACTCCGCCCTGCTTCCTGGGTATGGTGTTTCCCAGGACCACTGTCTGGACAGCTTTCTTCTGCTTAATGTCAGGCTCAGTTATTCTCTCAGCCCCCTCCTACTGCAGCTTCCTGCTATCTTTTAGCCTGGGACTGCTTGATTCCCCTCAGGTGTGATCAGGCATGGCTTAGCCCCAGGCTCTCCAGCCCAAGGGCAGGCCACCACGTTACACCGGCAAGAATGCACGTAGTGCCCTTTTGAGGAGTAACAAGACTGACGTCGACATGCTTACCTCAGTCTAAAATTGGTGTAAGGGAGATGAGGAAACTGTGAGCATCTGTTGGAGTCATGCCTCTTGCAGGGCTGGGGCTTAAATCAATAATTTAGCTCTTGGGATATGCAGCACTAGTATAGCACTGAACAATCTGCATGTCATCCCTTTGAGATACCTCAGTATTATTCTGTCCATTTTACAGATCAGGAAGGAGACACAAAGGGCCTAATTCTACTCTCACTGGCACCTGTGCAAATTAGGAGACATTCCATTAGAGGCCAGCTACAAGGGGAGGGAGACCAGAGGAGCTGCCCCTTCTCCCTCTGTGGTTGGCTTGGCTGTTGGGGAATGTTAATTTGGGAAGGAGCAAATTTGCTGGGGGTAGGTGAAATTCCCTGGCTCGCAGAGACTGCTAGCTTTGGAGTTGGAAAAGAATGTTCCTTCTTCGGCAGAGTAGGCTTAATTAAGGGATGATTTTCACCTCTCTCAGTGCATCACTTCTGTGCCATTTGACATTGATGGAACCCACAGGTATCATTTGGCAGAACTGGGTTTTTGTTTGCAGGCAGCTGGAGGTTGGAATGTTTATAATAATTCTGACATGTTGCAGCTGGATGGAAGGGGCCCTGGAGTTTAACAGGTGTTCACTGGCCTGATATCTATGAGCCAGAATCAGAGCAGGTATATCTGCAAGAACCCAGGAATCTGTGGTAAAAGCAGGAGGAGGAGGAGGTGGTTAGACCTCTGTACTGTTTACAGATATGGGACCTGCCCTTGTGGATTGACTAACACAATATGGCTGAAGAGGGGATGATGGTTCTGGGAGACAGCTTCCTACTGTTTGGATGGGCACAGCTGCACCTTGGAAGAAAGTCTTTATGGCCTAAAAGATGGAATGGTTATGGAGGGAGAAGGTGGCTAGTTCTGAGATAACAATCTGATTCTTGATCTCAAGTTCAACATGATTTAAAAAATAATAATTGCAGCCAACTCTATTTCTTGCACATTGGAGTGTCTTCTTTTTCATTTTGGAGTAACACACGTTTGGGAGGGATGACCAGGCAACAAATTACTTTTTTAGCTTTTTAAAAATGTATTTATCTTCCAAATGTTTTTAAAAGTTATTTCTTTATCTTAGAAATTATTTTCTGACATTGCTTTATCTTTCTAAAGACTTCATAATCACGAGACACTGGGTGTGCACTGGAGTCTAATAATGACACCCCTTGGTGGGCTGCTAGGCATGAGACCAAAGTTTTCTTGTATAACTGTAGCTTGAATTAATCCAAGCCCTAATCTCACTGATACAGCCAAGTTCTTAGTCTGCTAAACAGGTAAAGTAGCCCACATTGGATGGGAAGTACTGGTCTGTTTTAGTTTGATTCATTATTATGTGCCTACATAGTATATAGTTCTCATCAAGAATAGTAACAAGGTGATGGTCATACCATCAATGTAATGCTGAATGAACACTGCTGAGTTTGCCCACAACAAATATTTGTTGCGGTTGATGAAACTGACCCTATATAAAAGAATTTCTCTGAACACCTAAATCTTAGGCCAAAACTAGGGACCCCATTATCTGCTCAACTAACTCCATTAGGGTCAATTACGTTACAACAGTAGATAAACTGGCCCATAGCCAAAGTGGGCTTTTTGAGGTTAAAAACCCTGCTAACTTAACTTTTCTCTCTTTGGTTCTTTTTCATAGGTTCTGCAAAATTATTATGTCATTTTATTTCAGTTAAAGTTTTTTCGCCATGGGAAAGAGTCCAAAAAGAGAGGCATGTACATACTGAAGGCAGAATTTGGTCCAATTCAACCCCCACTGAAGAAATGTGAATCCTTTTGCTCACTTCTATGGGAGTTGGGGCGAAGCTCTAAATGTAAAGAATAAAACAAGGAAGAGGCTGCATTTTTTAATTAAAAGAGATGCAATAAACAAATTACCTTTTCACTTCTTTGGCATCACTTGCAATGAAGAATCCTAAAGTACCTTCTTGAATCTTGACATGGTTTCCAGGATTGATTAATATACTGCTCAATAAAACACAAAGAAACAAAAAGACAAAGCTATGAGTTTATATCACTTTTAATTGAGTGCTCCAAAATTCTCTATTTTTGTTTTATTCTAGGGGACCCACTAGTCAGGAAAGGCTATAAGGAAATTTAAAGTCATTTTCTTCTTTGACATTTCCAATCAGATCACCGCTTAAACATCAACAATGGGTATCATTACAGAACTTAAATTTGTAACTACCATGTAACTTCCCTTAAAATCATATCACCATTTCAGCTCTTAAGTCACTACTGTTCTAGCCATCAAATAATTAGCATCTTTTACCAAAACAAAGCAAAAAAAGCATCTCAGAAAAACCATATGTGAAGCGGAGCAGTTTAGCTTTCTTACGCTATTATTCAGGCTGATGGAAAAGTTCATGATATGGTGAAAAGGGAAGAGATCCTCCAAGGAAACCACCACTTGATACCAGTACAAAGAGTCATTTGTCAAATTAAACCATTTTAAACATCTTTGTGCCAATTTCTTTTGAAGTGAGAAATAATGGGACCCCTCTCTGTATATATTATATTATTATACATAATATAATAAATACACACATACACTCAAAGGGAATGGTACAAGACAACCAGTCATTATTACTGAGGAAAACATAAAATTAATATAACATTTTTAAAAAAACATTGCTATGCAGCCCCTGGTAATAAAATAATCCAGCCACCCTAACAGAGTGACTGCAAGTCAGTTTGATGGAGGAAATTGTAAGTTAACATGGTGTGTGTTGATCTCTGCTTATGTGTAACATATCTGCTGTATTGTCAAAGATTTAGCACCAGAGTATTTTTGGTTCAGGCAATATTATAAGGTACCAGGTAGATATAATTATTCTTCATCTTGTTTTACTTTGAAGTGTAATATAACTAAGCTCTTAACTTGACAAAACACTTACTAAAGCTTGTCAAACGTTTCACTTTTTTTTTGTTTTTCGGTCTAGTTTAATCTTTGTAAATTAAAGAGTAATAAGAGTACATATGCCTTACAGTACACAAGGACTAAAAGAAACTATGATGTTTTCAGGCTTATCAGACACTGACTTTTAGGAAAGATGCCAAAGTAGCAAGAGATAAGATGTATATATGAATGGACATCAGGTGCTAACATTGCAAGTACATGCAATGCTAAAGATTTGTAGCCTTATTATTTGGGGAAAAATATAGGATCAAATGTTTAGATACTCTTAGTTACTGATAAATTGTTGGGTTGGATAATGCTGGTAAGTATAGAATGTTTTCATCAAATGCAGAACATTTTCATATACTGTATTTTATATACTGAATGTGTATGTACTTGTGCGGGTGCATCTGCACATATACTTATACACACACACACACACACACACACACACATATCTCTACACGTTAAAAGTCCTATGTGACAAGAATATTAAGCTTGCAAAATCAGCATTTAGAAGTTAGGTAATGTCAGATTTAAGGCTGCCTGTGCAACCTTAATTCAGCCCCTTGGGAATATGTTTTATGATACGTTGTCCTCATTGTCACGATCATATATTATTTGTAGCTCAGGACCCCTCCCTCATTCGCTGCATAGGATGGATGATGCTCAGTGAACAAAAAGCTATTCAATAGTTTGTTTTATCCTTATTGCTCGTCCTGTGGCCCTGTGCAGGAAACCCTGCTCTATATACAGAGTTATTCATTGGCTCATGGGTTTTTCAGCACTACAGTATCTGAGTACTTCCTAAACAGCCTGATTTTTCAGAATACTTAGCATTTTATAGCACTTTATATGTACAAAGTCGCCTTTGCCTCATTAACGACACAGCTCCTACTTCTGCAACAAACGAGGCTCGGATCCTACAGACAATAGCCTCCATCACTACACAACTCCAATTTGTTGCTAAAATACAGTCCATCCTCTGCAATGAAAGAGGCAAGAGGTGCTGAAAAAAGTAGGTAATTAAAGACTGTATCATAATACATATGCACAAGGGGACTGAATTAAAGATGCTTTACCTAGGGAGGTGGTAGAATCTCCTTCCTTAGAGATTTTTAAGGTCAGGCTTGACAAAGCCCTGGCTGGGATGATTTAACTGGGAATTGGTCCTGCTTCGAGCAGGGGGTTGGACTAGATGACCTTCTGGGGTCCCTTCCAACCCTTATATTCTATGATTCTATGATTCTATGATTCTATGCACAAGCAACCTTAAATCTGACATTTCCTCATTGACTTAGCAACTTCAATGTTTTTTTTAACTTGGGAGGTCCGAGGGGTTAATACAATTTTCTAGGTTTTAAAAAGGCAAACTGAAAAAATCAGAAATTCCATCACATGGAATCATATTGACACCTGCAAGGCTGGAACCTTTAGAACTACTGCACAGACCTCTGCTACTCAAGCTAACAGAGAAACTGACAGCAAACGTAAGTTGTCATCCACTAGAGGTGGATGAGACACACACTTTGCCAGTGGCTGGGTTTCACAGATACTTGCTAACACAAAAAATGTGGAGACTCAGGAATCATGGGTTCTATTCCAGATTCTGGAGGGGAGTGTTCCCTTGTGGTCACAGACCTTTCTTCTCCTGTCCCACCCAAACCTGACCCATTCTGCCCACCCTCTCAAGCCTGTCCCTGTCCTATCTCTTCCTCACAGCTCGTCTTAGTTTTGCCCTTAATTCCTCATCCTAGCCGGTCCCAGTCTCCAACTCCCACACTCTTCATCTCAGTCACAGTCTGCTTGCCCAGCCAGCCCCACTCATTCTTCCCCACTCCCAGCCTTCCCACCCGAGGTTCCTTATCCTAAACGACTCTCCTCCCTGCAACATCAAGTTCTTGGCCCCTCTGCATTTGAGTCAGGTTGCTTACTCCTCCATACTGCCAGGATGCCAGCAGTGGGAGAGGGGAAGTGGGGACAATAAGAACACAAGAGTGACATTTTGCCTGCTCTCAATACTGGTATCCAGTGTCAAAGAAGCCACAGAAGCTAAAAGAAGCAATTCAGGGAAAGTCCTACATAGCCCTGACAGTCCTGGGATGGAGCATGCTCAGTGCAGATGGAATAATCTCAGAATTCAGCTGCCAAATGGTAACAAATTTCTACTGACCATGTGCAAATGGATTTTTCAAATGTTAATAAATCTGTGTGTTTTTTCAAAGAAAGAGTGAAAGGTATACCCCTGACACATCAGTAAACCCTATAACAAATATCAAGCCCTTGTTCCAAAGCATGGCGATGCTAGATGAAATGGCTGTAAAAATGTTTTTAATGAGCAAAAGAACATATTTTTTCCTTAATCTCATTCTTGGAAATTGATCAGCCTGAGGCAGACACCCAGTATAGAAAATTTTCTCCCAAACAGTAAAAATTTATCAAGGTGACAAGCACCTGAAAACAGGGTCTTCTAAAGGGAAGTTCCAGGCAAACTTACTTTAGGTGGCCAGTTTCACCTTTAATATATATGTGTAATACTAACTCACACAAATTGATTTCATATCTGACAGAAGATCTTGTACTGCACTAGGACATAACCACAAAATAAGGATTTGTGACTGTGTATGTGATGGGAATAAGAAGAAATCTGTCTTATCAGTGTTATTAACAATAACTAACAGCAGAGGCTCATGCAGATATGATTTTATTCTCACACTCTGACGTACAGGCAATACAAGCATCAGCTACTCACAAGCAAGTTCTACCTAGTTTGCATGACTTATAAAAGCAACTAAATGAAGGTACTTCTGATGGGACTGCTATCTTCAAAAAGCTATCAAAACATAGCTCAGGCTAGTGATGCTAAGGATTGATTCAAGTAGGTAAGGAGTAAAAGATTTTTGAGAGACTTGGGAAAAAAAGAACTGGGAACTTCACAATAACTTCATCATCATCACAGTGACATGTATCTGAATAACAAGCCCATGATAATACCAACTTTTTGAATTACTTTGTGTCTCAACAGAGGAGAAGATGGTGTGGTATAGTAATCTTGGGGCTGTAGAAGAGGAAGACTTCTACCAGAACTTCTTCTAGTCTCAACATCTCCCTTAGGTATCCCTAGTCTTTTACACAGAGTGAATAGCAGTGAATGGAACAAACTATGAAATGCATTATATGCCATGCACTGGAACAATGCTATGAAAAATGAACATCTCCTGATTTTTCCAAATATACACTGATATCACAAAGTCATTTGATCATTTTTTAATCTAATACCAACCTATTAAATCAGACAAGGAACGTTATATAATTTTGAACTTTTAAAGAGAGAATCGAATTTCCCTATTTTATTATATTTCCAGGTTAGGTTAGCTTCGGCTCTAATGAAGAAGCAGCTAGCTAGAACACTTCTGATATGTAGCTTCTTTGGCAGACCTCACTTTCAGGAGTATATTCCTCTGGCATAAGGAATCTCAATTTTTTTCACAACATGGACCACATCTCAATACAAAGATTCTCTCATGGACAACCTGCCCTACCATTCATAAATGTGTGGGTCATGTGGCAGCTGTTGTTGGATCTTTACATAGAAAACAAATATTAGAAAAATATTTAATATATTTTTAGCTGTGGTTTAATGCAATTTAGCAGTCGAAAATAGGGAGAAGGAGGCAGTACCATGTGACCAGTCAATTCTCCATGGACCACAAGCAATTTCTCTGTGGCCCACAGACCATAGTTTGAAAACTTTTACTCTAGTATAATCTGGGTCACTTGGTAAAGTGGGTTAATTTGAATAACCTGCATTTTAATACAGCCAAATGCAAGGTCATAAATCTAGCAACAGAGAATGTAGGTCACATTTACAAGATGAGGAAGCATATCCTTGAATGCAGTGACTCTCTAAAGGATTTAGAGTCATGGCAGGTAACAAGTGGACAGGAACTCCCAGTGTGATGCAGTAGTTAAGAGGGCTAGAACAATCCTTGGATGTACAAGCAGGAGACTATCAAGGGGGGAAATGGATAGGGTAATGAGAATATTACTGGAATACTGTGTACTGTTCAGTCTATTTAGTTTTTCCAAGAGAAGGTTAAGACATGTCTTGGTTGTGGTCTACAAGTACCTACATGAGAAGGAGATATCCGAGAGTAGCTTCTGGGGTGTTATATTGAGAACCACATAGTTTCTGTTTTGGTGTTTTAAATGTACAAACCATCCACTGCCAGTATCTAAGTAGAAACTCACCAGAAAATATCCTAATAGCTCACAGTCACAGTAACAGACCATAAGCCATGCATATATTACCTCTCACTTTACGTGGATAGGACTGGTTACACAGTGTATCAATACAGTGATTTGCATAAAATATTAAATACAGTATGTGTGCATGATATTGTTTCTTGTATAAATGCCTTCTCTACAGGTATCAAAATCTAGTACTGCTTTTATAAATACCTGTGAGACTTTCTTCGGGTGCTCATCTTTACTACTGTCACATTGTCTGATGTCTACGCCAGGCATGGGATGGCCTGAATTTCAGTTTACAAATTATCATTGTGAAAAAGTGACCAGCCACTTTTTGGTGAGAATAGTTTCTTTCAATTACTTGACTTGGTAGAAAGCTTACTATGAGATAATTTTTTGTTATGCTATTAGAATATATATTGAAAAACCCTCTTTCACACATTTGAGAAGGAAGAGAAAACTTTTTCTATCTTCCCATACTGTCCAGCTATCTTCAGTCTCACTCATAGAAAAAGTGAACCATAAGATTTGTTGTCTGCATTTCTATTGAGTTCTATATATTAGTTTGCATATAGTTTTTGAAAATGAATTTATGAAAAAGAACGTGTCATAGTGCATTCATTTGTTGGCCTTTTGCCCAAGTGAAGCCTCTGCTCAGATCACAAATGAACACAAGTTTGGGTCCCTACACTGGGCAATGGTTCCATATCACAAAGCTACCTCCAAGTCTGGTGTGACTGTCAGATTTGTTCAGGAAAGACCTCAAACTCCATTACCAGGGATGACACAGGACAGGAATTAGTTTAAGATGCATTGGAAGATGGAAACCAGGATGGAAATAGCAGAGAGGACAGCAGATCAAGGCAAGGCACCTTTACAGGAACCTTGTGTGGAGCCCCAAGACTGGAAGACAAAGGGATGATGTAGGTCAGGATGGAGGTGTATTGGTAGAGCTTTGTTGGGAAACTCCCACAGCATGAGCCAAACTATGTCTCATTCTACAGTGTTATTAGCACTTTATGTTTTACTTTCATTAGGATAAATTTGCAAAAGCACTAAGTAACTTAGAAGCTTTGGAAAATGGGATTTATTCTTCTAAGTGACTTATGCACTTCTGAAAATTTAATCCCTAATTGCTAATATCTAACCTCACAGTGTAACATGTAATATGTACACATAAATAAATAACACAACACTTGTGGAGATCCATGCCAAGGGACCTGTTCTGACCCAGCGATATTCCTCTTCATATTTTTCAGATACACTCCTAACTGCCATTGATCCCAGTCTAAAAATACGGGTCCATTTTTTAACTCAATGAAGCAAAAATGGCAAACTTTGAACTAAATCAATGACAAAAGGCCATGACAACTCTGGTTTAAACCTTGTGGTAGATGTACTGTACCATTCCCCATGCAACTAAAATAGTAACTCTAACATATTCATCAGTCACATATTATAATAGTCATATTATAATACTCATATTAACTGAAACGAGATAATGGGATGTTATTGACTATAGCTATCACACATATAAACACAGCTACCATTTTATACTGGTTCATGCTGTGCCCAGATGAAATGCACAATATTAGTGCAATGGCCTCCTTAATTGTGCCATGTCATGAAAACAACTATAAATTATAGATTTAATTTGAACCATTATGGCTTTTCAGAATATATTTTGAAAGCACGTGTGAGGGTAGGTGCACAAACCAGCGTGTGGGATCTGTGTGAATACCAGCTGCACACCGCTTGTAACTCATAGGCATTGCTTCTTTCTTCTGGGCTCTATGACTGACATGAGTACAAATTCCATATAGCTATACATAGAAAATTCTATTATGACACTAAAAAGGATACAAGGCAAAAGACACATTGCAACATTACATGCTACAGTATATGAAAGCTTAGCTACTACAAGCAAACAGAATCACAAAGTGTTGCTCCCAGGAATTAAGTTCTTAATGACTACTAAGTGTGCCATGCGTGCATAAGGTACTTTACCAGGGATGTGCTAGCACGAACTAGTTCAATAATTGCACTGAAATTAATACACTGTAAAATAGTTCAATTAGTGTTTTTGGTTTAAGATGTGAATCAACTAGGAATACAATGGAAATAAATGAATTCAGCAGCATAATGCATTTTATTCTGGGAGCAAGCAGCTGCACTTCGTACCACACTTTTTCACACTGCTCAACATGCCAGAATCAGCATGCCTTCACCACAAGGTAAATACACTCAAAAGCAAGAAACCAAGTAGAGGTGCAACAACTGCAGATCCTTGAAGATGCTGTGTTGCAGTAACTTCTCTGCAGTTGGATCATATCAATATGCCAAACTGACAGGAAGCCACCTCTCTTTTCACACATCGACTCAAAAAGCCCAGTCGTGTAAGACTATAAAGAAAATAAGCACAACACACAGAATACACACAACAGAACAAATGTGGAAATTAAGGTTGGAGTATGTGATTAAGTAGGAAACTGAAATATGTCTTGACAATGAGAAGTCTCCAAAGAACACCACAAAGAGTCAGACTATGATAAGTTGTTAAAAAATAGGGATGTGGTAGGACCCGCCCTGTTTATTTCATTCAAACCAAAAACAACAAAATGGAATGTAGGCTAGAGATGAGGCCTGTAACGTGGTTATTAAAGGAATATGCAAAACATGCCAACACAAAGAAAAAACAAACAAAGCAAACTCTTTCATTTGAGTTGTTTCAATAAAAGCTCGTGTAATAAAATGAATAGGAACATACAGCATAAACTACCTCTAGGTACTTCACTGGAACAGTACGGTAACTTTAATGAGTACTGTATTAGAATTAATCTGGATCAGCAATGCAAAAAAATCAGGCATTTGGTCATTGTTAACGGGAGGCAAAACTACAAGAGCACAAAGTATTGTATTGTAAAAACTTGTATTTTACAGAAAGACTCTGTGGGAAGAGAGGCTATTAATAAGGTTGTAAATATGGAGATAAAATGGCAGCACACAGACTGGTAGACACAGAGGACATGTCACAATACAAAATAAATTAACAAAAAGAGAAAAAAAGGACGGTGAACAGCAGACCGAGTTTGATTTCCAAATGTAATAATTGGATACATCAATGGTTCCACGACAAAATAAAAGTCTAATGCTTATATTTAATTTTATAATTCCTGCAAAGAAGTTAGTGCATGAGTCACAAGAACCAATAAAGAAACAAAATGATTCTATTTCTCTCCTCTTTGAAATTGGGGGCTCATATATAAATATGCATATATATATATATATATATATATATATATATATATACACACACACATAGACACATGACTATATATATATATATATATATATATATATATATATATATATATATATACATATATAGAGAGAAAGATAGACAAAGGTGTTATCTTCCTGAGTTCTTGGCAAGGAATTAGTCCTGAAGTTAGAAGGAGTGAAGGTAGGGTTGAGGTTGGAAGGAAAGGTAACGAAGAGGGCATACCGCTTTCGGCTTCTGCAAACGACAAGAAAAAAATTGCAAATCAAACACTTCGATAAGAAATCAACTGACAAGAAAACAAAAGCAAAAAAACCCTTTATTGAAAATTCTTCAATGACCATAACATTAAAAAAAGGTTTTTCTGCTGAGAATGAGGACAAATAAATGGAGAGACAAAGAGAATATTTAACAGAGGAGTAAAACATAGGGTGCATGAGGGAAGAATGTTGGTTAGGCCTTCATTCTTGCTTACTCTTGCAGGAAAAAAAAAAGGGGGCAATGGAAAACTCCAAATGGCATTGAGAGATTAGGATGGGGATTCTGTGTGTGTCTTTGCAGTTTGCACTGATGTGGTTTGTGAATATTCAATAACTTTTTTTCTGTCGTGATCTCAGACAGATTCTCTACATGCCCCTTTGGACTAATTTTTTTTTAACACATGAGATGATGCCTTTCTGCAACTGGTTTAAGAAATAGTATTTCAGAAATAAACTTTGGGGCTACATCATAGAAACAACAGTAAATCTAAAGAAGTGTTTCTCAAGCATGTTAACACCAAACGTATCCAGGATTATTAGCCCAAGAGTAGAATACGTTATTTCAAATACACTAGCAGCTAACTCAGATTTTGATCTGACAGTGGAATCAGCTAGAGTGCACCTCTAGGGAATTCCATTTACTTAAGTAAGATTCTGCACAGGTGCACGGATCTATGGTAGTGGATTTCAAATCAGGATCAAATTTTTAAATTGAGCAATCTCTTAATATATTACAGTTAGGTTCAGTTTTTATGTGACTTTTCAAATTCCATAAGGTAAAATATAATTATGCATTAGATTTATTATGAAGAATTTGTAAGAAGCATAAAATATGGTCTATATAGTTTCACCATTTTGTTTCATAAATTATATTTTATATTCACCATGTGTATATGGCTGTATTATTTATAGTTGGATTTGCATAAACTATTGGGTTTCTTTTTTTTTTTTTTTTTAAGAAAAGCCTTTTTAAAGATCTTCATTTAAAAAAGAGAATTTAATCATATTCTTCATGAAATAAAATACATCTTTAAATTTCAGTGTGAAAAAATAAGAAACAAAGGTAAAAAAGGATCATGAAATATGTACACAGCAAATGATTGCTTAGGGAAATGGATGTTTACACTATGGCTGAAATTGTGGCTGTACTGAAGTCAATGGGAGCTTTGCTGTTGATTACAGTGGGGCCAGGATTTCACTATGTGTCTCTTAAAACTGCGTACAGTAGTATGTCTCATCCTATGGTTCTTGCACAGGAAAACTATCACTGACTTCAAAGGGAGTTTTTCTGTGCAACCATAGGAACAGGTGTATAATTTGCTTATAAAAGCAGATAAATAACATGTATTATTAAAAATAATAATGGAAATCAGGGACAAAAAATGTTGTCATCTGGTTTGTTGTGCCGAACTAGTACACAAAGAGAGCTTCCAGTCACTGCACAGAGTGAGTAATTCTTTGACATGGGTCCCTGCGTGTGCTCCACTTCAGGTGTGCATGCACCCGTGCACCTTTAAACAGAGATTTTTGGTAGCAGTACCCGTTTGGCCTGCATATGAGCCCCGCACATCCTTGTACCCCGTAACGAGGCTATATAAGGCCGCATGAGTGAACTGCCCTCATTTCCTTCTCTTCCGCAAAGTCCCACAGAGGTAGCTCCGAAGCAGAGGGGAAGGAGGGTGGGTAGTGGAGCAGCCACAGGGACACAAATCTCAAAGAACTCGTATTACTACACAAGCTGTGTAAATTCTTCTTCTCCTTCAAGTAGCATGCCTGTGAGTGCTCCACTTCAGGTGACTCCCTAGCACAGGGGTGGCCAACCTATGGCTCCGGAGCCACATCCGGCTCTTCAGAAGTTAATATGCGTCTCCTTGTATAGGCATCGACTCCAGGGCTGGAGCTATAGGTGCCAACTTTCCAATGTGCCAGGAGGTGCTCACTGCTCAACCCTGGCTCTGCTACAGGCCCTGCCCCCACTCCACCCCTTCCCCTGAGCCTGCCGTGCCCTCGCTCCTTTCCCCTCCCTCCCAGAGCCTCCTGCACGCAATGAAACAACTGATTGGGAGGTGCGGGGAGAGAGTGGGAGGGACGGGGAGGCACTAAAATCAGCGGGGCTGCCAGTGGGTGAGAAGTGCTGGAAGCAGGGAAGGGGGTGGGAGCTGATGGGGGGCTGCTGACGTATTACTGTGGCACTTTGACAATGTACATTGGTAAATTCTGACTCCTTCTCAGGCTCAGGTTGGCCACCCCTGCCCTAGGAGTAACCCCTTAAGGAGGTGGGAGTTTTGGAACAGAGTCCATCGGTGAAGAAGGAATTGCGTGACCTACTGCAGCATCTGATCTTGCAGTGTGAACCAAGACACAATGGACAGAAAACATATGCATCAATGACCACATTGCAGCCTTGCAGATTTCAGCAACTGGAATGTCTTTGAGTGGGCTGCCAACATAGACTATGATCTAGTAGAGCACACAGTCTCTTGTAGGGGAGGCAGAACCTCAGCAAAACAATACGAGGCAATAATGCATATAGAAATCCATATAGAAAGTCAATGAGTGGAAACAGAGGCTCCCCCTTGACCCATCTGCAATAGAAACAAAGAGTCTATGGGTCTTCTTGAATGGCGTAGTTCTGTTGAAGTAAAAGGCTAATGCCCTCTTAACATCTAATGTATGGAAGATAGACTCCTGGGTAGGCCAATGTGGCTTCGAGAAAAAACAAAACAAAACAAAAGGTGACTAGTTTGGTTAATGTGAAACTCAGCAGAAACCTTAGGTAAAACTTTGGATGGAGTCCTAATGATAGCTTCCCCCTGGAGAACACAGTAAACGGAGGGCCTGCAATTAAAGCCCCCATCTCTGCAAACCTTCAAGCAGAAGTGATGGCCACCAAAAAGGCCATCTCCATAGACAGATGTAATAGTGAGCACATAGCCAGTGGCTCAAAGGGCTGTTTCATGAGATGGTTAAGAACCAGGTTGAGATCCCAAAGCAGTGTCAGGTCTGTAATCTGCAGAAAAAGACTCAAAGACTTTCAGGAATCTTGCTCTGCTCAGCTGACCAAATATTAAGAAACCGACTACTGGCACATGGAAAGCTGTTATTGCCACTAAATGAATTTGGATGGAACCACAGAAAGGCCTCAAATTTTCAATTCCAACAGGTAATTCAAGATTGTGGAACAAGATGACTAGATAGGTGAAAGATGGCACCAGATGCACCAAAGATTATATCTTCTCCATTTCTGAAGATAAGTGAGTCTGGTAAACCCCTTTCTGCTATTTAAAAGTACATTTTGTACTTCCGATGAACAAGTGGCCTCTAGTGGAAAACCACTGAGGAACCATGTTTGTAGTTGCAGAATGTTCAGATTGGGATGAAGCGTCTGACCTGCATCCTGAGACAATAGACGAGGTTTGATTGGGAGCCACCATGCAGGGCAAGAGGTGAGTTTAATGAGGTAAGAAACCAAACTTGTCTTTGCCAAGTTTGCACAATCAAAATGATCTTGGCTTGGTCCTACTTGATCTTGATGAGGACCTTTAATGGCAATGGAGTTGGAGGATATGCATAAAAAAGGCTTTTTGTCCATGTAATAAGGAGAATGTCTCCTAGAGATTGGGGATCAAGTCCCCCTCTGCAACAGAATTTCCTGTACTGTGTGTTGGCTGCCATGACAAAAAGGTCAACCTGTGGACATTCTCAAGCTAGGAATTTTTTTTGAAGACTCAAGAATCCAACTCCCATTTGCAATTTAGGGAGAAATGTCTGCTAAGGTCTTTTGCCATGTTGTTTTGTGTTTCCGGAAGGTACGAAGCCGAGATGATTATCTGATTGGCTATGCACCAATTCCAGCTTTATCGCTTCAGTTCAGTGTCGGGGGAGCGCACACCCCGCTGATGACTGATATAATACATGAAAGCTACATTGTCTGTCATGATCTTCATGGACTTGTTTTTGAGTAGGGGAAGAAAGTGAAGGCAAGCAGTTCTGACCACTTTTAACTCCAATATATTGATGAGTAAGCATTGTTCCTGTCATGACCATTTCCATTGGTCTATGTAAGGACCTAAATGTGCTCCCCATCCCAAGAAGGAAGCATCTGATGTTAACACAATGATAGGAGGATTCTGGTTGAACAGGATTCCTGCACAAACCTTAGAAGGATTCTGCCACCAGGTGTCTGACTGAAGGAGCCAGCTGGATACAGATATTTGTTTGTTCAGACTGTGTTTGTTGGGTACATAAAGTGTTCTATGCCTCTCCAGGAGACATCAAGGATGCAACCTGTGTCATAAAAATGCAAGCTGCAATGTGTCCCAGCAGTTGCAGATATGTCCTTGCTGAAACTTGAAGGCTCAGCTGCACTCTTTAGATAAGGTCCTTTAGAGCAAGGAACCTGTCGAGAGGGAGATAAATTCTGCCCATTATCAAATCTAAAAATTATCCTATAAAGAGAATTTGCTGTGTAAGGTCAAAATCTATGTCTCAAGATTTATCTGCAGGCCTAGACTTTGGAATAGTAAAGTTGTTTGAACTGTCAACCAAGCCTCCTGATATCATTGTCCCTTGAGGAGCCAGTTGTTGAGGTAGGGAAAGACTTATTCCTAGATGATGGAGGTAGGCAGCTATGACCACCGTGATCTTTGAGAACACCCTTTGGGGTGGAAGACAGGCCAAAGGGTAGGGCCCAATACTTGTAATAATTGTGACTGTGAAATGAAGAAATCTTTTTTTGAGTGGGATTAATCGTTATGTGGAAATAAGCGTCTTTGAAGTTGAGGGTCACAAATCAGTCCCCAAATTCCAGAGAGGGAATTATAGCTACTAGGGACACCGTTCTGAATTTCAGATGTCTGACATGCTTGTTCAATGGTCTGAGATCTAGTATCAGCCTCCAATCCCTGTTTTTCTTAGGTATCAGAAAATACATTGAATGAAACCTTTTATCCTGTGTTGAAGTGGAACTGGTTCTAT